AGAAGGACAATTACACCATCAAGCAGTGATGCAATGGATGCTGTCTATGATGGAGAGATTGTAAGTTGGTTATGAAAATTACTTTTTTTTCTGTTTTGCCTTGACTTTGTGACGTGGTTTTGTCACAATTTGAACAGACACGCGTCATTCTAACGTAATGTTTTAACGGGAAACCAAACAGCATAATTTTATTTCCAAGCAGGTATATATTCAGCCGTTCTTAGCCACCATTTTCCTAGAACAAAGTATATGTAAATATTTAGTGTGGTACATAAAAAAACAGTTTATTAAAAAAAAAAATAGCAAACCGTAACTTAACTACAAGGAAAGTTTTGCAACGATATTTTACACATCAAATTAAATCTTACATCGAGAGCTTTTGAAAGAAATGCGTTGTTCTCCTCAAGAACTTGTCTTTCATCAAACGGTAGAGTTATCTCCAAGGCTGACGGACCGTCACGTTCTACACATTCCCGTCACACAATAATGTCACGTGATTAATCTTGTAATGAAAACTCAAAGGAAGATAAACGACATGGAAATAATTACGAAGTTAAGAGATCGTTCTAAATAGCTGCGAGTTAGTACAGGGGTTAATAGAAAAGAGAGGCGCTAAATTAAAAAAAAGAAAAAGGAAAAGGCGCAGTGAAAGATTCGATAACTTTTTAAGTTTAATATAATGAAACAGTTATCACAATTGTTTATTTTTCGGAATGAAATGCGAAATGTTGCAGATAGCAGACGAAGCTAGTAGTAGAGCAGACGAGTTGTACAAATGGTATCAGCTTCTTCATGGCGCTCTTTCGGCTGTTCTTTCATCCGAGTCATAATCTCCCTGTTATCCGGGAAGTTCCCCCCCCCCCCCAGCTTAACGTACATTTTCTTCAGTGTGGTAAGGATAACATATGGCCAAGTTGGATAAGAGCTGGCCGCGAAGATTATACCATGAGTGGGTTTCTTGGGGTGAGCTGTATCTTTCTGTTAAAAATAAAACCATGCGCAAGTTCTAATGTGGTCTACGTGTAACGAGCATAACATTTTTGCACCTCTCATTGTGCAGTCTATGTTAGGATTATACTTCACCAAAAACACAAGTTAACATGGAAAAATTGGGGGTTTTCATAAATGTTCACTGATCCACGAGAGTACAAGTTTGAACGAAATAAATAAGATTAATTTTCACACGGAGCTCTAAAAATACCTGATCAACATTTTAGATTTACTATTTACAGTCTTCTCTGACGGAAAAGCTTACACGTTGTAAGAGGGGTTTTGTTTACGAAAATTGGGAATGAGTTCACTATCAGCTGTAGGTGGTACATTTCAGTAGTTGAAACACGAGAAGAGAAATTCCATATCTACAAGCAACCATATATTATTTTGTTTATCATATAAACACAATAGCCTTTTCCTGACAAGAAAAGCCGACTTCGTGAATGAATGAAAATAAATGAATCCACAATCTCCAAATAACAACCGTAAAGTGCGTTGGCGCTAACTCTTAAGATGGAAAAATGCGTTGAATCATGATTACAAAAACAACAATGGTCGTAATTTTTAATTTACTAAATTCTCATTTATCAACTTTGTCCTTACCGACAGAAGAATTCTTTCAGGTAAACGGCCAAAGTCGGCCAGTGACAAATCTTCCAGTTATCGATTTTCACTCTTAGCGGAAAGAAATGCCAACATCAAAGCCACTGAATAGGTAACTTTCAGTTTTTCTTCTAGTATATTGGTTTTCTTCCCCTACTAGGAAAGTTTGAACGTCGCTGTCTGACAGCGATACGGAATTTTTAGTGTTTTAGCCGCCATAATTCAAGAAAGCTCCAACAAACAACTTGTATTGAGAATTGTGAAAACTTTGTCGTTCATTCATCAACCTGACCAAGTGGCGCCAAAAGCGAGTGACGTGTCAGCAGCTGATTGGCTATATCAACACACGTGAAAAAATACGATATTTCCTCACATGTGTTGTTACGGCTTTTCTCAGGGCCGGAAATCCCTGTATAACACCGCAGTTTATGTGATAAAATGGTTTATTAGCATATCCATCGAAGGGCGGCTCTTCCATGCTACAAACTAACTACAAACTAGTTAAAATCGATCATTATCACAAAATTGCCAATACTGCAGACTGCATTTTACATATAAAAATTATTTAAGGCTTCTATTTAAGAATTACCTTAAATATTTAAAAGGTGACTATGACTAACTAATATAATTATATGCAAATACTAGCTATGGCATTAACAGCAACGATCAGCTTTCATACTAAATATGGCTGATCATTCTTGTAGGTTTATTTCCGCTTTCGCTTGTGAAGAAAAAATAGCGTTTATATTCTTTGACAAATTTTTAGTTAAAACCTTCTGCTTCACAGTCTTGAAAAGTTCCAGAGACCTGTGGTACGACCAAATTGAGTACCGACGAGGATCGCAAAGTGCACTGGTGAACACGCACCTCTAAGGGGAGTTATGAAGGCCATTTTTCATAATTCAGCACCTTGTAATCGAGTTTGCACAAGTTCCAGTTCATGTCATTTTTGACAGGCAGCCAGCCCAATTTCAAGATATCCGATAAGTCTGCATATTTGCCAGTGACGAAACTGGCAGTTGCTCAAAATGTTATGTATGTTTATTTAAACGGTATGATTGCAAAAACTAAGGATACAAAGTACCCACTTGATAAAACAAAAAAAAGAACGCAAACATCTTAAATTGATGAACATGAAGGGTGCGACTTAACTACTTTCTGGGCGCTTTAAGCACATTAACGTAATAAATGATTTACTTCGCTCATTCCCTCTGGCGAATCTTTTTATCCTATCTTTTCATGCTTAACCGATCACTCAAAAAAAAACCAAAATATGCTTAAACATACAATTCATGTTGCGCCCATCGCAGGCGTCTAAGCGGATTTCAATATAGCAGAGAAAAATATCTAATCTACTTTCTACAATCTTACACATTTCATAGTTCTGTGTAGATAAAACCTAAAAACAACGACTCTAAGAAATTGCAAAACAAGTTTGAAAACTTCTGAAGTTAGCATGTGTCTGGTAAAAATCACAGGACTGACCTTTATAATGAACCAAAGATTCGGTATCACTATGCACATAAAGCAATTTTGAACCCTAACAATCTCAGGTTTATAAAAATTCTGCGCTGACCGAAAATTCAGTGACATAATTTAACATTTTAATCACGCCAAGATATTAAAGAATGACCAGATTGTCAGAAAAACTTGACATGAGCATTTCGTAACACCTCACATAAATTTGATCAATCCTAATAGACGGAAGTTATAAAGTCGTTAACAAAAGCAAGATTTATACGAGAAAGTTTTCAAGTAAACGGCATCTTACAGGGCTGGTTAAGGACTTCCTTATAACGAGCACGAAATAACACTAAGAGACAAAAGCTATTCCATACAGCGATTGGAAATGTATTTACAAGCGCTAACAATATGTGTCTTTTCCATCTTCTTCGCCAAACAGCCATCACAGCCACATTCTGATAACGAGTCTCGATCGCCAGAGACACACTGGTGAAAAGCCACTCAATTACCAGTTGAACTGAAGTGTGAACTGCGAAGGTCTTGAGCAACCAAATTATAGAGTTGTTTCCAACGAATACAAAATCATGCAAGTATCTTAGTCCGTTTACATACACCACAGCAACAGATTCAGACAACATACTCAAGATGATGATATCAGCCATGAGTCGTTCGCGACGAGGTGTGCGGAAACTCCCCCAAGGGGCTAATTTCCTTCTCCACAACACATGGAGAACATGATCAACCAACGCCATGATGCTTCTTTCAATGACTTCTGCAGCTCCGTGAATAACTCCAAGAATGGCGATAGTCCGGAGATGGTCAAGATCTGCTTGTAAAGCTCGAAAGATAATCGCTGTGCCGAAGTAGAGAGGCGCCAATAACACATAAGAGTATCCTGGATGAGTAATGTTCCATAATCGTTGAACACAGATTCTTGATATTACCTTTACAGCGACCCCCAAAAGAGGTGAAAATAATGCAATTATCAGCCTGCCTGTGTTTTCTTGTTTGAGATACGCTCTATAAAGAATATCCGAAATAAACATTCCATAAATAAGGGGCAAGCAAAATGGTACTATCATTTTACACAATAAACCTGCCAGTCTTGGACGCGGGCAGAACTGCCTCCCGACAATATATAATTGCAAACATATACTGGTGATGAGAAAAGTATATATTGGAATCTGCAATTCAGTGGCTGACGCATAATAAGGCTTTCCAATAACTTGAAGAGAAAAGCGATAACTTATGTCCAAACAATACGCTGCAAAGCTTAGCAGAATCAGCTTTTTCTTTATTCCTTTTAGCTGATACGGACGAAAAAGAAACAGGAGAGTAACAAAGATCCAGAAGTAATAGAAACTAACGGATATCGCATCAGAAATCGTTTTGATCCACTGCACACGAATTGGAATTGACGAGATATTGTAATCCTGACATTGAAGAATTGTTTTATAACTGACATAGGAGATCTGTAGGTAAACCATGGCAATTAACACAGCTGCAAAAAACGAAATCAACGCTCCAAAGCACATCGATTTACAAACTGTCTGTGAAAAGGATGGACGAAGACGTTTCCAAGTCATTTCTTCCTCCTTAACGTTCTTATCTACCCTTGTCTCCCCACTGTCTTCTGGTAAGAACGCGTTTATAACCTGGACATTAATGTTATGTGCGAAAAAGTTTGAGTTTGTAGCCTCTCTGTCGCTGTACTCTTGGTGTATCAGTTCATCAACAGGCTCTTTATACCATTCTCTACCTGTGCTTAGCAGTGGATCGTAGCCAAAAGACTCTGTCGTGAATTCAGGTTCTTCTGGGTTGTAGTGTTCTGTTACGCTGCGCGTGAGGCGATATACGATCTGACCAAAAACCTCTATCAGGGTACTGGTTGCCATCCTACCTTTGTATGAACAATATCTTCCACAGCAATATCGGTGGTG